ATGCGGGACTCGATCCCAGGACCCTGGGATCATGACCTGAGCCGAAGGCAGACGCTTAACCGACTGAGCCACCCAGGCGTCCCAAGATTTTATTTATTTTATTTGGAAGAGAGAGAGTGAGTGAGAGAGCAAGCATAAGCAGGGGGAGGGGGAGAAGCAGACTCCCTTGCTGAGCAGGGAGCCTGCTGTGCGGCTCGATCCCAGGACCCTGGGATCATGATCTGAGCCAAAAGGAGACGCTTAACCAACTGAGCCACTCAGGCGCCCCACATGATAGTACTTTGAAGGGTGGTTTCTGGAGCTGGACTCTTTGACCCCCTCCCCCCGTCTCAGCTCCAGCACTAGCTTGGGCATTTCCCTCTCTGCACCTCAATTTTCTTATCTGAAAAAAAGGAAAAAGTAAGGGCCCTGCTTCATAGGGTTATTACGAAGATTAAATGTGTTAACAAATATAAAATACTAAAAATGATATGTAGTAGTAGAAAGCAAACACAAAATATTACCCCCTCCTGTTCATTTCCCTGTTTCTGGTGTTGCTATTATAAATAATCCTTCTATCCTTCATTGAACATTCTTATGTGCCCAGGTTTCTCCATTTAGGATTATTTCTTAATATAATTGCTAACTTAAGTTATATGAATATTCTTAAGGAAAGTGATACATCAGGCCATATTGCCTTTCAAAAGTTTTCACCAATTTATTCTCCTAGCAGTATTGTATGAGAGCATGTTGGGGGAAAAATTAAAGCTGTGTTGGTAGCTACATGTAGTCTTTAATTCTATATCGATAATTCACATCATCTCTATAGAATGGTTTTAAGACGGAGAGCCTGGCCTAATGGATTAAGAGAAATTGAAGTGTCTGGGTTGGGGGGCCAAGGAGCAGACTTTGGACAGTCATCTGTAGCCACCATTCCAGTCAGAATCAGTTAAAACATGCTTGGCAGCCATTTTGTTTTTATTAATCACGTCCTTGTGAAAGTCAGATGTTTGGGTCAGAAAATCACTTGAGGCTGACAAAGTGCATACCTGCCTTCTCGTTTCTCCTAGTGTGCTTGGCAAAGTTCATCCAGGTTTTACAAAACATGAACCTGGACCTGCTCTCAAAAACATTCATTTCTTAGTAACTCTTTCTGACTCTGCCCATTAGTCTGTCAGTGGCTGGGGTAATAGGTTTTATCTTGTTCTACAGACAGTTGACTTAGTAGGAAGCTCACAATGAAGGGAAATGTCCTAGTGAAGAAGAATAGTCTCCTAGTCCAATGCCACATATGGAAGAAAATACAAGATACTGTCTCTTAATTAGTAATCACAGGGGCTCAGTTTGATAACCCATTCAAAGTGAAACATGATTCTCAGTTAAAACAAAGAAAGAGAAATATATAATAAATCTTCATGTATTTGGAAAAGCTTCTTTCAAAGTTGAAAATCAAAAAGCATATTAACTTTATTATTACTCTAATAAATAAAATAAGGCAATGGAAAACCTCACTTCACCATGGGCTTACATTTGAATGTGAAGTATCATAACTAAAAAGAGTGTTTCTATTTTTGTAAAAATTAATTATTAAATTAAAAAGAGGATAATGTGTTAAATGAATCTTCGATTTCATAAGTTCTAGTGTAAGAGTTCTTTTTCCTTAGAAGCAAAAAG